TTTCATTTTAAATAAATTATAAAATAGTATGATAACTCATATTCTCACTGGAGCGATAATAGTTAAATAACCTTTTTTTTTAAAGGTACTTGACATTTCAGTTGTCCCATGTTATGAATCGCATCCCATCCCATGCGAAGCTATGGTCTTAACATACTATGAAAAGTTATATCGATTAATAAATTGTATAGTGGCATATAGAGTTCCATCGTATTCCTACATCCCTCAATTACAAAAATTTTCGGAAACATGATTAGTGAGAATAGTGGGTGTAGTTGTGGATTTACATGAAGAGGCGATCGATGCTTACATGGACACCCACACCCATACCTTCAAGAACGAACTATGCTACGAAGAAAAATTTCAAGAATGAATATAGATATACGATAATTAATTTTTGTTAAATATAAATTCTAGCAAATGCATTGATTTCTCGTCGACATATTGGACATAAACGCAACGAATGACCACATGCAACACATGTAACCATATGACCACATGGTATACAAGCTAATTGTTTTTCTTTTGTCAGACAAAGAACACATGGATTTGATGATGTTGAATTAGTTGATTGACTTCGATCATTGATAGTAGTTTTTTCTGTTTTATATTCATCATCATTACTTATTGATTTAATTGAAGATTGAGAAGATGTTGTCATTTCAACATCTGTATCATTTTCTACTATAGAGTGAACAGCATTAGATACAATTGACATTGATTTATTCATTTTTGTCTCTAGAAAAAAACAAGGAAAGATAGAAATAGAAGATCTATCAATAATAATTTCACCATTTTGTTTTCGAATTTGTTTCATTATTATACTAGGTATAATAATGTTTTTGTTTTTTACCATTAATATATTCAATTGGTTTTCGAAGAATTATACAAGCAACATACAAATCATTGTCAGATACAAAATCATCACCTAAGTAAAATATTCAACAAAGAAAATATAAAAAGAAAAGGTAATACTTTATCGATTAACATACGTTTTATAATAGACAATTGAAAACCTTGATCCAATAAACGTTGTGATATCGACAAGTCTAATCGTGCAGCGACAAATCTTGATAAAGTACTTTCATTAGGTATCAATAATGTACCACTATTTGTTGTTACATTAGTTTGTATCATATCATTTGAACCTGTTCTTTCTGTTGAGGTTTTAGATTTTGCCTGCTCTATTAAAACAGAAAAAAAAATGAATGAAATTTAATTGAAAATTTATAATTTTTTTAGTATCCACCTTTCTGTATTCGTTTGGATTCTTGAATTTTACGAAATAAATCTTCGCCACATAATTGTTTTGCATATGGACAGCATGGAAACCAGCGAGCATGTTCAATTATTGGATTATCATTAGAACCCCAATTTTTTAATGATTCATTGCAATAAAAACAAGTCACTATTGTTGCTCTACCTGAATAGAAAAATCCTGCTTGAACCAATGTATCCACCGACGGTGAATTTTCATTAGACCATGTAGTAAATGATGCATAATGTTTTGGTATTTCTGAAAAATTAGGATTACATGGTGTTCTGAAGACAACATAATTTGATCGTAATGAATCGAGATTATTTGTTTGTGATGAATGAATGTCTGTAGTTGTTGTCGTTGATGATTGTTCATTAATAATAACTATTGATGATTGTGTAGGATTCATTAATTTTGCTTTGACATATATACAATTAGGTGAGAGAGTTTTATGTAATTCACGTGGATCATCAACATGTGGTGTCCATTGTTGACAAATAATATGGCAATAGATGCATATTACACGATCACCAACATTACAATTAAAAAATCCAGCTTCAATCATTTCTGCACTTGAAGGAACAGCGTGATGTGGCCAATGAGAAAATGTACGTCTTCTTATTTGTTGAAGAGAATTACTTTCGAATAAAGTATTTAGTACAGATCGAAAATCTATTGTGTCTAATTTTTGACGTTTAGAAACATGTTCTCCTACAGTTACTATAGATGCATTTCGAACAGTTGTTCTTGACGAAATGAAAGACTCACGTATATTTAGTTGTGAGTTTGTTACTAGAGAAAGTATGAATGGACAATCAGGTCGTTGCTTCGAATGAATAGTAAATGGATTCATATCCAATATCCAATCAGACACTTCAAGTCCACAGTCTTTGCATCTAGCTGTATCTCCATTACCTGTATATTCAAAACCCATTGCAAACATATACTTAACAGTATGAACACCTGGTCTTTCGATTGAGTGTTGTTGTCGTTGGA